AGTTGTTCAGAATGCCTTTTACTTGTATCTTTTAGAGGTTTTAAAGCTGAATGATTGATAGTTTCTTTGCTTCGTTTTGACCACTAAACTACATTTCCAGATAATTACATATCACTAACCGAGACTAGTCAGGGAATCACTAAAAACTATGGAGTAATAGACAGCTATCTCCCCCCCCGTCGCCCCCTTATGTATATAGGTGTGCACTGCTGAAGCGTCAGTCCCTAAACCCAATAAATACAACAACTGTTCGATGGACCCCACCCACCCACCTGATTTTCAATGGTCATTTAGCTTATATCAATCTGCATGAAAATCCCTGAATTCTGTCTCTACCAACCCAATACTTACTTGTAAACTGCTGTATGTGTCTTATTGATGATATTCAGTTTTCACATAAATAACACTGAAGAAATGAAAAGCTCACAGTGTATGTGTTTTCGTCCATCTTGTTGTAAATACAAAATTTTAAATGTTTTTGTAAAAACTGATTGTTTTTAAATCTGAAATAAATATGAGTGAATTTCTTCATTTCTGTGGATTATTGTTATTTCCATTGTTTCGGAGTAGAACAACGGATCTCCACTCTGTCCTGTTCTCTGGAATCCTCTTTACCTGGCCCCATGAAGCAGTCGGACGCTTCGGGAGGTCATTCGTAGTGGAAACCATACCCGCCATAATGGAGTCGCGTAGTGAGTTCCATGAAGCTCGAGTATTTAACTACTGTTTCAATAAGGAATTAGTTGAAGTCATGAAGACTAGTGTGTTGGGTGGAGGTGAGGGGACAATGACAATAAGATAATATAACCTTGTGGAAGATAAATATTGTCATAGGTGCAAATCAGTTAATCGGGGTAGGTGCTGTATTCTACTTATTCTCTAGGTGCTTTTTTTCTTAAATCTAAGCAGTCTCTGTCAAATATCCTACAACCTGTAAGAGCAACATAACCTGAGACGGGATTGTAATGATGTAGCATCACAAAGTTAGAGAGGATTCCCTTCTGCCTCAGAGGAGTAGGTGTAATCGTTCATATTCATGAAACTGTCCTCATCAACAAGAAATATAAGAGGTGAAGAGAAATGCTAATCAAGTGTGGCTGCTTGGAATATACAACACTTCACTACACAATGATTTTGTGGAAACAATACCCAGCAGAAGTGCCAGAATAATAATTCCAATTATTCAGAGCTTCTTAGTTCTTGGAATAACCAAACACACTGTCGAATTCAGAGGATGTGACCAGTTGTCATCTTTGGGCTACATTCACCATTATGTCAATCATTCCTCCGATCTTGTGCATCCAATAACAGGCAAGTACACCAATTCTGTTGGAGAATTTTGTAATGGGTTAAAGAAGAGAATCAGAAATATTTCGATAAAGAAAAGAAGACAAAATTTGCAGTTTAAAATGATATCATCATTCTATTTCACAGGTTCTCATCAGCTGCAGACTACCTGAAATTACAATGATTATATAGATGATAATAACATACTTTAATGTTTAAGTGGTAGTAGGGGAGAAATACTGTAAAATTGACGCATCCAAAATGAAACCATTACAATTTTTTTTAGTTTAAGTTTTCATCATCAACCTATACGCTTTCAAAGTAGAAAAGAGGGGGTAGGGGTAAAACAGAAAAAAATTAACAAACAGTGTTAGCTCGCAGGTTCACATAGCAACTCAAAGAACAAAAGCAGCTACAGTTTATCAGATTGAGATTTGCTCAGTGAGTTGAGATCACTGAATTAGATGGCTAATTAATGTTATCAAAATCGAAATTCAGTTGCCAGGGGAGTGATTAATCACACTCTCTTTCTGTATCCAAAATTCTGGTTTGAATCGTTTGATTGTCATCGTTTCGGTAAATCGTAGTAAATTTGCTGTCCTTTGTCTATTTAATATTTTGAAGGACTTAGAAATCTCTACGAGATGCCAGTATCAACAATATGCCTGATAATTGCACTCTGAGAATATTTGCTTCCTTTCATGAACAAGTTTCTCGGAATATGTTCAGAAGACCGGATAGAAGGCCTTCTTTCCCTCCTTCCAACGTACTTGCTCCCCCAAGTGGACGTAAATTCATAAACGCAGTTGGAGGTGACATCAGTAGGGTATTTATTCAGTTTACAGCGGCCTATAGAAGAAGTAGTGGTACATAATCTTATGAGTTTATGTTATGCACTCGTCGAGTAGTTAATAGTCCTGACGCGGAAAGAGGGGAAATCAGAAGACCACCAGGTTTACGATGATACTTGTATTTTCCAGACAAGGAAAATAAATGTCAAACAAGAGTGTGAGTGAAATGGTACGTAGTGTACGAAACAAGTATACAGTACAAAAGTATATATGAAAATGGCTAATACACATGAACCAATAAATAGACAGTCTTAACATTATTGGTTGTAATGTCATGTTTATTTAGTTAGTGGACAGACAAAAGCATATTGTCAGTTATAATGAAATATCGATCCATATACACAGCAAAATATAATAGACTGTCAAAAACAAAATACACATCATGTGGATACATATCAGTTTAGCTGCAGGGACGATTCTTTTTATTGCACCCTTCATTCTTCCGTTAATCTTTTGTGACACTGCATCTCCTTAGAATGGGGGACAAATCAACATTTTCTTCTTGTCTACAGTTGAGTGTTTTTCTTTCTTCATAGTATTTCTTCTCTACTACCACTTAAACATTGAAGTATGTTAATATTTTCTATATAACCATTGTAATTTCAGGTAGTCTGCAGCTGATAAGAACCTGTGAAACAGAATGATTCATTTTATACTGCAGATCTGCTCTTTTTTTCCCTATTGAAATCTATCAAGGGAACCAAATATATACAATCAGAAATATCGATGAATCCCTTAGTAACATGATTTCCAGCTGCCTTGACGAAGAATACATGTATCGGGTATGGTATGAATTCTCTGTGGATTATCATCAGAGAACCTGGGAGAACAATATTCAGTTTAACATCATGTATCCAGCGTTTTAAATATATTTTTTAATGCAAACGTGACTTATTTCCATTTCGAATTCTGGATTGGTTATTCAGGGTCATTATGATTTGCGCTGTGATAGTTTAACTTAGCCATTAACACTGCACTTATCCAAGCCTCATAGAATTGATCAAGAGAATCAATCAGTTCACCTAGACTTTAGTTCGGAAATTCTCTTTTAAAGAAATCATTAGGCACTGCAGAAACCTAAATTGTGTTATGGAAAAGAAAAGCTATGCATGTTAGTCAAGAGAGACAAGTCAGTCACCTAGCATGTGTTCAGAATAATTACGTCGAGAATAATTGATGTTGAACTACCCTTCAAGGAAGAGAGTTACCTCCGTCAAATAAATGAATGTTCGATGGGGAATAAAGCAACAAATAACTCTGGCAGGCGGTAATCCAACGGGCAACAACCTACTGAACACTAAGTATGCAGAAGAAAATGAAGATCAATTGGATGTACTCCGAGGAGACCGTTGTGTAAAATCACACTTCATACTCTTGAACTATACGTTAAATGGAAAGCTACACGTTTGACGTCCAAATGGTAACATGGAGGAGATTGTGTGGAGGGAAAATGAAAACTTATGAGCAATTTCGCGGTTGACTAAAACGGATGACAGAGGACGGAGTTTTAATAGAGATGTCTTGATGAAAGCCTCTGTTCCATTTTGGCAACCTAAGGAACGAATAATAATGTCATAATAACTATTCTGTTGTACCTCCATATACGCAATCTATACTTTTATTCATTAATAAAACACCTACTTATAAATTATAAGTAGAATATGTGATTTAATGTCAGTAAGAAGCTTGAGCATTGTGGAATAGATCAAATAAAGTATAATTATATTTCAATGGTTTACATACAATGATAAGTTTTGTTATTGGTAATATTTCGAGCAAAATTACTACTTCCCGTGTTCACACCACTGTTGCTTATACACAAAATGGTGGTTGCTAGCCCCACGCTAATCCTTTCATCTTTCGCAGGCCGGGATCAGTTAGTAAAAGATGTGAGGTATTAATGACACATGTTTTTGACTTATATTCATAAGCGTACTGTGAATCTTTCTTGTTCAGAATCTGTATACCCCCATGAATAGATAAGAGGAAACCTACGGTTTATTCTTAGCACCAACAACAAGGAACAGTATATCATCATCTGCCTTCCCTCCCCCCCCCTCCCCATTTACAGAGACTCCAAAACTCAATGCATTGCCGTAATGCCTGGAAGCACCCTCCTCACAACTCGAAAGGAATCCAATTTGGAACTTTAAGAAGGCTATTATTTACACTGGGATAATGAGGTCCGGTTTGAAAGTCCATCAGTGATTTCACGAATCTTAAAATGCCACTTTCACATAAATGATATAATATGTTATTTTATTTACTATAGTATGTTATATAGGAATTCTAATTTTTTTTTCTTTGGATTATGTGCAACACTGACATTCTTTTTGACTATATTTTCCCTTTATTGACTACAAAAAAGTCCGAAAATGTAGGTGAACTTGTTTAAATTACCCATTTAACATCGTTTTTTTACCAGCTTCATCATTTAACTTCATCATCATTAACTCATTTTAACCTTTTCTCCAGCCAACCACTACCCCCCTTTTTATCCTGATTTTTACCATTTGTGACACTATAAAGTCATTTTCCCCGTCTACTCTTCCCTTTTATTCGCTTTGGAATCAAGGGAAGACATTATTGGTAGTCGCAGAGCGTTATAGAGAGAACAGTATTGCCTCAAATGCTACCTTACCGATTAGTAATCTACTTGAAGATTCTACACAAGGGGTAAATACTTTGAGATGGAATATGCTGAGAATTCCGCAGCATGTGTGAACGCGTTTTTCAGAAAAAAATTATATATATATATATATATATATATATATAATCAATGTGATACAAAAACCAAGATTACTGAAGTACTTAGACGGCAATTTATCAATAGGTAAGCACAAATTAACGATAAATATTAATCCAGGCTTAGATTATTAGAGTGGACTTCTTCCTGCTGGTCATAGAAGTCTATGGGAGCTTTTCAACAAGCTAGTTTCTATTTAAGAAGGCAGATACTGAACCACATATTAACGACGATGATTACTACACTAAACAAAGTATTAAACAATAACAAGTATACACAGATGGAATTATCAACAATTTTTAGATTTGATCCTTTCGTACACTGAGTAATAATACAGTTTGCAATTCAGTAACCCGAACAATAGTCAAAAGAACGAACTGCATTAGTATATACATATATACACACATATATTTACATTAAGATTTTCGACCAGGAGTCATTTCATCCATACACAACCGCATGGTAATCTTCACTGGTTTAGAAGGATCAGCGAACTGATATCCTTTGGACCAGTCATAACCTGAAGCATAACAAAATACTTGACCTTTAGGATCGAATACACAACAAGTAAGCGGTTGGTCTGGAGAGTCAGCAGTGTGCAGTTTTGTTCTAGCATCTTTGTCCCAAAAAGAATATAATCCATCAGAGCCTACTGTGGCTAGTGTACCATGAACAGGATGAAAAGCCATATCATTTACCTGGCAATAAAATGAAAGATAAAAATAATAATAATAATAATGGTGGATTACTGAACAACAAATGCTGACTGTTTCCTTAAGAAACCGTTGAAACAAGTGATTAAAGGTTACGAATAAAACACAAAATTATGAAGGAAGACTGAAAATCCCGTATACCTGACAATAATCGACATGAACAAAACCACCAGTGTTGATATCCAGATATACATTCATTTCACTGTATCTTTCAGATTACTAAAACAGTTTCCGAGCAAGCAGAAAATTTAAATAACAATTTGTTACAATTTAATTGAATTTTAGATTTTCCCGTCGATTGATTGACTGCACCGAAGTGCTCGGTCTTAGGTTGACATGTCGGCTTCTTATGCAGATGTTTCGACGATATCTGGCATTTAATTAGAATTTAATTGGTGGATGGTGACTAGTAGTGGAATCCACGACAACGAGCATTTCGTCCTACTTGAGACTCGTCAACTGGATGTACCTGCATTCCCAGTGAGTAATGATGTTCCCACCAAGGCTCGAACCAGTACCCATAGTTTCAAATGCCAAAGCGTTATTCACTAGACCACTTCGGCCATGAGAGCCACCTCCTGTGCAATGGGTCATGTTAATTTAATTTTACATTTTCCCGGTGCATAAAATGCCGACATGTCAACATGAGACCGAGCACTTCGGTCCAATCAATTGACGGGAAAATCTGAAACTAAGTTAAATTAACATGACCCGTTGTACAAGAGGTGGCTGGCTCTCGTGGCCCAAGTGGTCTAGTGGATAATGCTTTGGCATTCGAAACTATGAGTACTGGGTTCGAGTCTCAGCGTGAACATCATCACTCACTGCGGAATGCAGGTACATCCAATGAGAAGTCCCAAGTAGGACGAAATGCTAGTTGTCCTGGATTCCACTACTAGTCACCATCCACCAGTTAAATTTGTTATAATGTCTCCGAGAGTGATTACGAATGCTAACAGATGATATGGACACTTAATAATGAATGCCCTGGTCGACTATTCCCTGACACGAACTAGTAAACCACAGAACATACGCAGTAAGCTTAGAAACGCGTATTTTCAAAAGCAAGCAATAGAGAGAGTGATCAAGAGTACAAAAATATACATGGCATATGTTGATCCAATTACAGGACTCGAATAGTAGGCGTTAACTGCAAGCTGGATTCTGATTGGTTGACGTCTATCATATGCTACATTACGTACAGCCAAAAGTCGACATATATCCTTCTCATGTTAATTCTAACTTCATATACAAATTAAATGTATCTGAGAGAGCAGTTACACTGAGATAAGAGAAAGGTCACACCTCTAATTTTTAAATATGCAACCAAAGGCATACATCTCAACGGAACAAACGCTTTCAATAGTGCCATTGCCAGGCATCTCCTTGATACGGGGTTATGATGTGAACATATCAAAATCCTTCGAAATGACCACTAGACAAAATAGCTCAATTCTGCTCAAGTTTGTCGAAGCAATTACAATCAAACGACTGAAACCCTATCTATGTGTTTAGAGAGGAAGCAGTTATCAATCTTTCCTTGCCCTGGTTTAACTGGATGTCTTTATTTTCTCTTTCATTTGATTGCATGACCTTTGGCACTAACCTCTTTATTACGCAACTCCCTCACCATTGTATGAATACACTGACTGTTTGTTTAAACTTGGACTCCCTGTCAACTGACATAATGTGAAAACTGTAAGTACGTTAAAATTGTTCCTGAACATAAATTTAGTATCTTTAGGCTGTTAGCAGATGATGACAAGCCTACGAAATAAATCATGGTGTGGTGAAAGCTGTCTGCAAGCCGAAATTGTAGACAACAATTTAAGTCAATGTTTACGTCCCCGATCAAGGTCATGAGAAAAAAGCATAACCCTGGGGAACTCAACAACCAATCACAGCAGACTTAACGTGTGCAAATACGATTCGCAGATATATGGCTTAGCTTTCTAAGAAACAGTCGTAAGCAGGACAGAATAGCCTCCGGCAAGAAAACAACCAATCAGGAGACGCTGCTTCCTGCCAATGATAACGCTAATAATAATGTACATAAAAATCTACAAATATCTCTTGATTTCCTCAAAAAAAACGATCTGTTGTCTGGCCCTTGTCTTCTGTCGTTACATTGGTATCATCTTAATCTGAACAAATTGTTGTTCTTGCTTTATTCAGACACTGGATATAATTATTATTGCTACCTATACGTAAATAAGAGTTTCACGACAATCTTATGACTAATTCTACTTCATATTTGTATCCAAAGACAGTCGTCCCTTCTGCTCACACTTAACAAGCAAACAAGCAAACAAGATTTAAGGGAACATGTGTAACAATATTGATGAAAAGTTTAGCAAGAAACCACGAAACAGTAAGCAACTCACTGCAAAGATTTCATGATATCCATTGACAGCTGCACTTGAACGATGACACTTGAAAGTAAAATTATCTTTCGGTGTAGCAGGATTCAAGTACTGTATTGCAACTCGTCCTTCAATACTACCCAAAGCATATCCAATGGGATTTTGTTTCTGTTTATCCATAAATATGGATATACACCGACTCTTTTGGATAGAAAAAACAATTAGGGAAAAAACGAAAATGAATTATGTATTGAATATACATAAACAAAGTGTGACTCAACAAAACAAAGGAGACATGAAAAGATTAGCTGTCTTCGATCATAGGTGCCTGCGTTCTATCTCCCGTGTGAAGTGGTATAATAGGGTGAGCGATATTCAGGTTAGGCATCGGTCGAGTGAGTGCTAGGTAAGGAGGGGAAATCAATAGATGAGGCTGTGGAGCTACATCGACTGAGATGGTTACGACATATGTTACGTATGCCTGCCTAGTCATCGCCTTCCTCGACGGGCAATGTTAGCTGATATAGGGTCAGGCTGGAAAAGAGCTAGCGGCGGTTAAACCACAACATGGCCTTAGTAATCAATGGAATCCGCAACAGTTAGTTTACGCCAAGTAGGAAGGTGTAGACTGGCCTCCTGCTTGCGGTCCTCGGGATGGTAAACACCAATGGCTGCAAACAATTGGTGACATGGCTCAAAATCGTTCTCAATGGCACAGATGCATCCACTCCTTGTGATTTATGATTTCCAATGAAACTGTTTTGTTCTTCGTTATTACTATTCCTTTGTCTCACACCTCTGTTTACTGTCTCTATTTTGCTTTTCTTGTACTTTCTTCTCTTGCTTTGTGTGCTACATGGAGGGAGTGTGGCGACTTGAACTTCCGCACATTTGTGCAAAGTTCTATGTCGGAAACAGACAGACAGACAGAAAGATCTGTTGAGTCTTAATGACAGTCATTCGATTAAATTCATCACAGAAAAATGACATCTCAATCAGGATTCAGCTCTGCGCTGAGAAGTACAAAGTCTTGTAAAAAGACAAACTGACTAGAAACTAAAGTTTACAATACACAGAAAACCGACACACTCCAACAAGTATTTGAATTTTCAATCAGATCATCCAATAAGAATGAAAGTTTCAGTAGCTTTAAATCTCGTTAACAGAGCTACAAATATTATAATAGATAATCATGATATGGAGAACGAGATATCCAACGTAAAACAAATTCTGATTGGAAATGGTTATCCGGAAAAGCTACTAGATAATATTATCAATAAAAAGGAGCATAAGGGAAAACAGAAAATTGAAAAATCTTGGCTATCGACGGTGGCCATTTCATATAGAAAGGAGACAGCTGAACGAACTTGAAAGACTATTTGCTTTATATAATATTAAAGTCTAGTTCAAGCCCCCTATAATTCTCTAGAGAAAGCTTTGGTGAATATCAAAGATATGGTTCCCAAAATGTCACAAAGTAATTGTGTCTATAGGATAAAGTGTTCAGAATGTGAAGCATGCTATATAGGGGAGCGCCGTAGACAGGTGAAGATCAGAGTGAATGAACATAGACTATGCACGAAACGTCTACCTAGAAATGAGGTAGAATTAAAGTCTTGAAAAAAGATCGGCTACAGGAATGCATGAGATAGACAGTGGACAGAAGATTGATTTCGACAATGTCGAAATTCTTGGAAGAGGATTTCATTCACATAAGGGAAGGTCGACCTCTGAAGCCTTGCACATTTTAACCAAATTGAATGCAGTGAATAGGAAAGAATGGATTGACTTATCATCTATATGACAAACTCTTATGAAGTAATGAAATGACGTCTTTTCCATAAGACAAATAACGTACACTCACACACGCTCATAAAAAACTAATCCTTACAAACCAATTATAGAAAAAAATATATACACTATAACAATTTGACATTAGTCATTACAAATATATGATGACTGCTTACATATTTCTATTGGTAAAACTGTCCATGGACAAATGACCTTCAAATAAATTGACTTCAATTTATGTAAAAAAAAAAATTTCGACTATATATTTTGATGATTAACAAAAAATCTGGATAAATCTGATGGAGAAGCTGTGGCTTACACAGCGAAACGTTCAGAAAACAGATCTTGTTTTGATTTTTTTTTCTTAAACACGCTGGGATTAATTTAAATAATTTATGATGAATCAATATGAATCGGCGCTCAAATTATTCCAGGAAGTTCGTAACACCTACGGTCTGGAAACTTATTATTTTATCTGAAGCCTAATACATTAAGTATTGTGTCCCATTGTGTGTCACAGTACGCAGGATATCTATGAATAAAAATTTATACACTGGTCTTGATTTAGTGAACAACTTAGTGGGAATACCTCTTGAGATTTCGACAGCGACCAATAGACACGATTCCGGACAAAGAAGCTATGTCAAAGCAAGTAATTCTACCTCAACACGTCAAATATGCTCTTAGATAATTATGGTGGTTGGGGGGGGCGGGGCGAGGCACGCAGAGTCTGTAACTTCCAGCATGAAAGTACATATTTTCGGAGCAACCTCATCAACAAGTGTTTTGCAACGCATGTTTTAAAGAGGACTATCCAGGATAACGCTATGAAGTTCGACAAGAGTAATATTCATATAGCTGGAGGATACATCCACAAGGACAATGTGCTTACAAGTCTTAATATATAAGGCAAGAGTAAGCTAATTTATTCTCAACTAGAAAAGACTGTGAGATCAGGAGGATGGCACAATCGAAAGATCTATATTTAGAAAGTTTTCATGGACAGGACTGTACATGCATTTCAAGAGCTTTGTTCCAATTCAGTATAAAAAGAAATTAGTCAGAACACTGTTCAATAGAGCACGAAAAATTTGTTCTGACAGTACTATTGAGCATGAAATAAAATCTATGAAGGATATTTTATCTAAGAATGGATATCCTGAGAAGTTCATTAATAAGTACTCTAAAGAAATTAGCCCCTGCAAAACAATCCAAACAGTTCCGAAGAAATCTGTCTATATCAATTTGCCGTTCAAAGGAGATGATCTACAGGAAGTAGTCAGACGAAGACTCGATAAAGCCATCAAGAGAACTTATTATGATGCAAAACTTGTTTTCCTTAACACCACTAAGCGAGTGCTCCAACAATCTGGGAAAGACCAGTCGCCAATCATGGACACTTCAAATTGCGTATATCAGTTTCAGTGTGTTTGTGGAAGCAAATACATAGGTCGTGCGTACGAAAAGGCGATTGTCCACTCGCGTGATGGAGCATTTGCCACAGTGGTTGGAAACAGCTGAATGCAAAGTGCCAAAAACCTCAATAACAAAACATATTGTGGACTATGGACATGATATCGACGCTGTCAAGTCATTCACTGTCTGTCTGTCTGTTTTCGACATAGAACTTTGCACAAATGTGCGGAAGTTCAAGTCGCCACACTCCCTCCATGTAGCACACAAAGCAAGAGAAGAAAGTACAAGAAAAGCATAATAGAAACAGTGAGCAGAGGTGTCAGACAAAGGAGTAATAACGAAGAACAAAACAGTTTCATTGGAGATCATAAGTCATAGGGAGTGGATGCATCTGCACCAGCCACTGAGAACGATTTTGAGCCATGTCACCAATTGTTTCCAACCATAGATTTTTACCGTCCCGAGGACCCCAGCCTGGAAGTCTACACCTTCCTACGTGGCTTAGACCAACTGTTGTGGATTTCATTGACTGGTGCCAAGTTTTTGTTTGACCGCCGCTAGCTTTTTTCCAGCCTGACCCTATATCCGCTGACATTGCTCGTCGAGGGAGGCGATGGCTTGGCATACGTAACACATGTCGTAACCATCTAAGTCTATGTAACTTCACAACCTCGTTGATTGATTTCCCCTGTTTACCTAGCACTCGACGCCTAACTTCAGTGTTGCTCACCTTATTATGCCACTTTACACGGGAAATAGAGTGCAGGCACCTATGATCAAAGACAGCCAGTCTTTTCATGTCTTCCACTCTCAGTGGCCAGGTCTCACAGTTAGCCATAAAGGAGGACGGAGCGGACTGATGAGCAGTACACCCGCCCTTCGGTCGATAGTCGAACATCTCGTCTACGCCAGAGTCGGCGTAAACTAACAAATGCGAAACGAGCCCCCTGTATTCGTGCTGAGATTTCGTCAGAGATCAACCCGTTGGCGCTGGCTGATGGTACTTCCCAAATAAGTGAAGCGGTCAACGTGCTCTACCACTTCACTTCCTATTTTTAAACTAGGCGTCGATGTAATCCAGTCCTGTAACATCATCTTGCATTTGGCGGGAGCGAATCGCATGCCAAACATTCGTAGATTGCGGAAGTCATTCACTATTGTCAGCAGACAAAGAAACAAGAAGATGCTTGCAATTGCAGAGGCTTGTGCAATTCGAGTTTATAAACCAGGTCTCCGTGTACAAAAGGAGATGGTCCTGGCTTTGAATCTACCATGGTAATATGTTTTACTTATTATTCTACTTCTTATTATTACTATTGATTCATTTAAAACTATCTTTTACCAGTAGCATTATCATAACTCACTTCAACACTATTATTATTATAACTATTACTATTGATATTACTGTTTGCAATTCTTGTTATATTCGCTAATGACTAATTGTTTATCTAAGTGATGCAATTGAAGTGTAATGCAATTTGTCTTAATTTTGATCTCTCATACCCTCTCTCCCCTTATCTATTTAAACATGACCTGAAAAACATTCGCAATTGTCTCTCTGCATGACTAATTCAATGTAGTTTGTTTACTTATCAGTCTTATATCTCCCAATGTAATTTCAAAAGTATATATATCCATGTATGTAGAGTATTCAGTGGCTGAAGAGTTCTACCGAAGTTTGATGAATTCATTAAATCCTGCTTTATTAACCTTTATTGCTTGTTTAAATTCGTATCGGGAAATGTTTTCAATCCTACTCTATTGAAATTATAGCATCAGTGCGGTTGCCTATTGAATCAGTTCTGTAAAATACCTATCGAAAGAGACCACAGTGAGATGTAGACCTGAATGAAGATTGTAAAAGTCATGTGGAAATAAGACTACTAACTAATTAAATAAAATCCTTATTCCATGATGGATAATACCGTCTTTCAGGAGGGGGAGCTGTTAATCATTCAGCTTTATTGTATGCAGGATACCTCAGAGTCTGCACAAGCGGCACTATCGCATATTATTAGTCTTGAAGATGCTCCTTGCAAAGTGTACTGTTCCCTACTACTACTGTAACCACACCTAGATTGGAATTAGTAGACTCTGTGTTGTTATAAAATTGAAAAAAACACCTGATGAAAAATTGTGCATATCCTTTTCTTCTAAAACTTATTTGAAGAACTCACTCATTGCATATTATTCTATAAGAGATGAAACAAAAGAATTTGAAACATCCTTAAGCAACAGGCTTGCAATTACCCAAACAAGATCTCAGTGGAGAAAAGTCGATTGCAGACAGAAACCTGAAGACTACACCTCAAATAGCCTCACATTAGACAGCGAAATTAAGTCTAACTAAAAACTTGATGAACCAAAATCCTTTAGAAACAGGGGAGAGTGTTACTCCAATATGAGTGAAGATGAAACTAACATCAACAGATAAATGTTTAAAGACAAAATCTGTGAGTCACGTATACTTCAGAACCCGGATCAGTTGTTAGATAGATTTAGAGGCTTCGAATCCTGTTATGTATGTCCAAACCAAGTTCACTTTTAACGGTTTGAAAAAATTTGGGCATTGGGTATATGATATTCATTATAATAAAGGTTTTTTTTTGTATTTCCCAATGAATGAAAAACAGTGAACGATATTGTTTTTACTGACGTTTCGGTATTTAATGCAGCTAATAGCTTTATCAAAGTGTTATTAAACCGGAATTTACAAACTCACCATATATATAACAAAGAGTTAAGGGGTGAGTTAGTAAACTTTGTTTTGATATTACCTATGATATTTGGTTTAGTGATCTTCATTGTTATTTTGACTTTCAATATGTCCTTTTAACTTGACCTAAGTCTTTTTTCTCACCCCTTAACTCTTTGTTATATATATATATATATATATATATATATATATATATATATATATATATATGTTCCATAGGGAACGTAAAGGGATAAAAGAAAACATCGAGGTGGTTGGATATAAAGAGAAACCTACAGTCCGGTGATTTAGTTATGAATATCAATACTGACTCATCTAGAGGTCTAGGGCCAAAAGCTATATTTAAGCAGGTGATCAAGATGGCACATTGTCAAGATAGTACACGTCTGAAGACTGTGACTCAAGCAATTGAAATTGAAATAAAAAAACGTGTGTTTGTCGGAAGAGGCATGTCATTTGGATATTCGGAAGTAAGACAACGGTTGATTCGCTGGGTGTTAATTGCAACAAACAAACATCATAACAACTAACAAATTAAACATCCCCTGTGTCTTGCCATTTGTAAAATAAACGATCACCGGTCATCCACTTGGAACTGATAATGGATGTGTTATATTGTCATATATATATATGACACATTGGACATATTAATCCACAGGTTAATACTGTTCAATGTGTTTCCGTCCTTGTGAGGAAAATAACTTTTGAATTGGCTGCATTTATACAACTGTAATGTTTTCGTATTTTAAAACCAGGTTACCTGTGTTTAAACTACAGTGAAATCCAGACTGTTGTCAATATTGACTGAGTGAACTCAGCATCGGTAAACAATTAAATCCTACACATTTCAGCACCATGTTTCGTAAGGTAGAAAGGTCCATGATTAAAAGTCAAAGCTCTGCAGAAATCAAGCTATTTCCACTCACATTCTCCGCGACACATTTTTCCATAATACTATGTTATTATATAAAAGCATTTACTCCAGGAATAAACTCACCTGAAATTTAAGAGGGGATTCTATCTGACTGAATTGAGTAACACCATTTTCTAAATTATATACACAGATCTGTCGACCCGCAGTAGCAACCAATGCGAGAGGATAATGAACATCAGCACAGAATACTCTTTCCGGTAGATCCACATTCAAAATAGGCTGAGCTTGTCGTGTATCCCAAAATCTGAGTAATTTCACAGGAAAAATACAAATATATAACAGCAAATTTATCAAGATGATCGGAAAACCAGTCCTAAAAGATACAATCCCAGAAGCCTATCACGCTGGCAACGTGGCTTAGTACAAACATTTCAGTTGAGCACTACAGCATGCAACTCAACCCCACCCCCCAGTAAACACCTATGTTATAAATAATACAACACCAAACAAAGCGATATTGTACTTACTGATTCATTAAGCTAATGTTAAACTACAATTTAAAAAATTCAAGTTTATGACTTGATATTTACGTTGTCAAGTAAATTAGTAAAGACAACAAACCACGTGCAAACTGTCGGATATGATAAACCTGATTCATAAAAACAATACATATATATAATATCCAGCTTCTGCTTTTATTGTTATCTGCACTGGTTGAAGTACTGCTTCATCGTGCTTCTCTTGTCTATCAAGACCCAGGTGTCCGCACGAATAGTTTTATCTTCTTCTTTCTTACTACAAATTCCTGGTTGGGGTCCTCAGGATAATAAAAACAAATAGCTGGAGACTATTGGTGATATGGTTGAAAATCGTTCTCAGTGGTTGGTGACTTATCATATCTAGTAAATTTCTATTGTTCTTCCAAATTGCTAGTATTTCTGTTTAATATCTCTCCTTAGTCTCTTGCTTTGTGAGCTAAATGGAGTGTGGCAACTGGAACTGCTGCACATATGTGCAAAGTTCTACGTTGAAACCGGTCTGTCACTACGAAGACTATACAGGTTTCCACCTACTTTACTTCCAGAGAGTTTTAGCGGTTGTCCATGCAGGTTTCCTCGTTTACACCACATTTATCTCTGACTTTTCCCTGATGGCTGGGGCAGTGTCCTTTTTAGTTTCATCCCACAGTGTTTTGGTGTTCAACTTGAATTGTTGTCCATTTACAGCTTCTTTAAAGCCCTTAGACTTGACCTCGAAGGCTCCTTACAATAGTTAATGGTCCAAACCCACATTCGCTCCCCTTCTCGATTTTGTGTCCAGTAGGCTGTCTCCACTTTCTTGAGACTGAGATGAAGTCCACATAAGTTTTATTGTGTCCTTGAGATGAAACCCACGTCGCCTTGTTCTTGAACATGCTACTTACATTTAACAAGTCATTAAACACACAGAAATTTACAAAGTTGTCCATTGTGACTGAGGTTTTGTCGATTACTGCTTGCAGATTTCTATTGGGTTCGTACTTCTACACAGGGGGTTTATGCTAATTATAAGAGCATAGCATTGGATAATTGGAACTTTGCTTCGTTTTGAGTTGAATCTTGATATCATGACCCTAGAGTAGATCAGTTCACACTACATTAAGGCCTTTGATATGGCTGATGCCATCATGACAACTTCACCCTGAGTGTGCTTAAGGTCATCATCTGAGTGACTGGAGTAAATTATCGACTCTCTAGTTAACGATTCAGAGTCCGTTTTCATTTGACTTACTATCTCATAAATCAGTAACACTTTTAGACCATATCTCCTCATCTCATAGAAAGTAATTACGTCTGTCACCTAGCTTCCCGGGGTCTCTTACCAACCAGTATAATCCACCTACGGAATGGAGACTGTAATAGAGATTAAGTTCCTTGTTTCTGTAATATGAAGTTTCAATAGCAATCGGGTTGCTTTTACACGGTGTGGTTGCTAGCCGCACGCCGATCTTTTCATCTTTCGCAGGCCGGGGATTAGTTAGTAAAATAAGTGAGGTTTTAATAACATGTTATTGATTTACCTCATACAACCATGTAAACTTTCCGGTCTTGAGAAAGCTGATGAACATTAGAAAGTAACAGGATCTAGCAAAGCCCAATAACGATGTTTTAACTGTTAGAATTTTCATACGTACATACAGAAAGCTAAGTCCTCTAATCTTGATTTATCTAATATATCAGTCTATTCGTCAAGTCCAAAATCCCCCACACCAGTTAACCAACAAACCAAATAACACACTGAAAATTCCTATTTGTACTGTGTACAAAGAGCAGTAAATTTGAACAGAGCAGATTAGATATGTCCCTTGTCATAAATTTTATGATGCTACTTGGGTGCAGACACCAAAAATGAGCAATTAATATAACAATACATAAGTTGGAAGTCGACAGTTTACACAGACACCAACAGCGACTTTTAAAATCCAATACTTTTGATGCAATAATTTCAGCGAATAGAAAGGGTTGACTGAGTTTCAGCAGAGAACTTTGCAAAAAGTGTGGCATTTCCAGTTGCCACATTTTATGCATCTCACAAACGAAGAGGGGGTAAAAATAGAGAGTGACTTCGATAATCAGTAATTGATAGGAGGAAAACATGGAAAAAATGAGAGCTAAACAGATCTAGAAAATGGAGTGAATGTATCTGAGCCACAGAACCATATCTCCGGCAATGTGAATCAATTTGTTCTCAGCATTCATCACGATAGATGAGACTTCCCAGCCACGGTCATTTATCCCAAGGGCCATTTAATGTATGCATTTTTGAATCGACGATTCGTGGTACTACATAAGCACAGCTGATTAGTCTGTTGATCACTAGAAGACTAAGTTTCAATTAGAAGACACGTCAACTACATGCAAAATCCTACTTTAATTCAAAACTGAGCTAATGCATGTATATATATATATATATATATATTAGATGTACAAGACCTTAACGTTAAAATCCTAAATGCAGGCTTATGAAGGCAATATACACATGTTTTGTGATATAACGTAAGGTGAAAAGCTTAGGGGAGATTGAATGAAAACGTACCTTAGTCGTTTATCCCACGACCCAGTCATCAAACATGAGTAATTCGAGGCGGTTATAAAGTGTACAGTTCTAATAGGTGCATCATGAGCGCCTACGGCGGTGAATGTATTTGATCCAAGGTCCCACATTTGAGCAGTTTTGTCTGCCGATACACTAAACAGTTTTGAACCATCCTAGGAATAAGAATAATATTTGGCCTTAAAAATCTTACATTGCTCCAGCAAGCACTGAAAACTGGTCCCTGATGTACTTGTTCTGCCTTGGGAACCGTGGCACCATTGCCCTGGACTTCCCATATCCGTACACGATTATCCCAGCTGGTAGCAGCCAAGAACATCGTTTGCAAGGATTCGGGGCTAAACCGAAGACACGACACTGTATCTCCGGGGACAGACTGAACTTCAAAAGTTTTCCGAACATTATTCATACTACATCTGTAACAAATCTAACCAAACGAATCATACCTCCTGTGCAAGCGAATAAAATCATAAGTTGCGCTCAGTGCAGATATCAGGCCTTCAGTGTGCTACCTATAGGAAGTCAGCATTCATACACGCTATCTGACTTCGTTTTGTTCAGTCAAATGTTTAATGATTAGTCTCATAGTTACCATGGCCATGTGGAATTTCAACAGTGGGTAACAAAATTATACCGAAGACAAGCTATGGAAAACTGTAAGTACCAAAATGAAGCGACGCGTAATTGACCTTGAAGGCGTCGACCATATGAAAAAGACGATTCTTACTTATAAAACACATGTATTTAAGAAAACAATAAATCAAAATACATGTAAGTGTTACACAGGATATTCATCTCCAATGTGTACCAAGATACCTCTCAATATTAGATTGGAGGGTCAATATAATAACTGCTGCACACCCTAAACATGTATTCATCTAGGTCTTCTAACCCCCAGCCTAATCCTAATCTTTCCCTAACCTAACCTGAAAAAGTTAAAACCCCTAATCTAACCGGAACTAACTTCAATATCACCCTTATCATATTAGCCAAACCCTAATCTATCCTTATCCAAAGTCTTAACTCTTTCCGAAACCTAACTAAAACTTTTTATTTCTTTATTTCTGATTACAGCTTGATTCCACACTGTATTTTTGGTACAAGTATGGAATTTTCACCATGGATATCGGTAGCCCAAATTTCGCAGGTCGACCATTGATATCAGGTGTACGTCGGCAGGGGATCGAACCTCGGGCCAGATATCCTGTTTGATATCGCAGTTCTTCATGTAACCTGTTTCGTTCATAATTGTAATGTTATCTGCCCTTTTTCAATAACTTGACGGAGCGTTACAAATTCATTCATGTAATCTTACCCCATTGGTAACTGCTCTTGTTTAGTGAATAACTTGGCCGTTTTTCGGAGAACAGACTGTACCAAGTGTTGGTTTGTAGCGGTTTGAATGGTTACAGGTCTGATCACTAGCTGACAACAATTGGGGATTTAATGGAAAACCAGGATTCGGTAGACAGCTGCTTCTTCCTGATTTAAGAATCTGCAGCAGTACACAACCACCATGGTTCAACCCCTCCAGTTATATGATTATCTGTTACACCGTTCGGCCAATGGAACTGATTTTCTCCACGAATTTTGTCGTGGATCTAGCCGGCCATATTATTCTCATTTAAACCTTTTTGAAGGCCATGGAAATAATAACCTGGATGTATATCTCCAGCATGTTTCTGAAACATGAACAGTTTCTATAAAACGTTTTATTTGAAATCTCAGACTGCAGTTGTTATTATCATTATTGCCCCCCCTAGGTTCCTAGTGGAACATAGGGCTTCATCTGCACGTCTCCATTTGCTTCTGTCTTCTGCTGTACTTTTCGCCTGCATCCATGTTAGTCCACACTTTTTCAACTCCTCTTCACACGATCTCATCCATGCCACACTTGGACGTCCCACACGCCGCTTACCTTTTGGGTTCCACTCGAGGGCTTGACGCGCGATGTCACCCAGCGGTCCCCTTAGTGAGTGTCCAATCCATCTCTACTTTCCCCGGCATATTTGTTGGGCGATTGGTTCTTGTTTTGTTTGCTCCCATAGTTCCTTGTTGGTGATTCTTCCCGGCCCGGCCATCTGATCTTCAGTATAGAGCGAAGACAGTTGTTGTCTGATAAAGGTCTGCAACAGCCTGTTGGAAATATTACAATAATAATTTGTATTTTCATATAAACATAAATTTACATGAGAATGCATGCCATTTTTACAGGCACGATCAAGTATGTTGTCAATGTAGTTGAAGATTGAACGATCAATTCTTGGTTGTATGCTCAAAATCAACTTCCCCAATTTTCGCGGAGGCATCAATACGACAGTCATCGTCTCATCGGTCGCTGTTCAGAAAGAAGAGTGAAACATCGTCAGAAGTAATCTTATGATTTATTATTGTAATATTTGTTTTCAGACCTTAGTTTACTTAGTTCGCTTATTCCTTTTATATGTTGGTGTAACAATAAACAAATCTAAAGCGGCAGATCAGTGTTTTGGTTTTTGCGTCCGTTATAACTAAGCGTTTCCGAAATCTTCGAAGAACAGCGTGGGCCCGAGCGTAGCGAGAGCTGGGCATTAACGGTTTATGAGACGAGACTGACATGTGTTATAATGTTAAATCTTAAATTGTCTACAAGTTAATAATGTTTCAACAGTTAAATATTTGATAGATATATATATATAATTACACTCATTGCCTGAACCAGGCCGTATAGTTATTGAATTTTACAGTTGTCCTCCGGGTTGCGCGAGAAAACTGACTTCGTTTCGTTTTCACCCCATGGTTGTAGGCATACGATAACCAACCAATATTGAGGTAAGTACAACGTTTACAATGGATTGATGGCTATTTTAGAAAAGTAAAAGTGCTAAGGTGAATCATTAAAGTGTAATAAATTAAGCAAGTGCAATATATCATTGATAAATACACTTATATAGAAAACAGGATGGGGAAGTAATTAATCCTTAGGCCGACAACGTTCATCGCAATGTATAGTGATACCGATATTCTTCGTACTATCATGATGTCCACTTTTGGCTTTAATACAATTATTTTCAAGCCAGTTGTTTTTATTTCATGCCTTTTTGTCCATTTGATGCACAACCGTACCCTACAGACAATATGAATAGAACAAGTCGAATCAAATTCATAAACAGCTATAAAATGTCAGGTTTAATGGAATATAATGAGGATCAAGTAAAGACGTTATTAGAAAATAAGTGAGACAAGATATTGTGAAGTGGTATTTAAAGATCTGACAATGGATAGCAAGTTAATTTATAAGATGCCCCATAAATCTGTGCAGGTCCCGCGTGGTGGCATCTCAACAATAAGCTGAGCGAATGGTATATATTTAAAGGTAGAATCATGATCTGTCAAGGCGTTCGTTATTGTCTTTTTCAAGATCGAGATCTATGCCTCATAAAAATCAGAAATATCTCGAGCCTTCAAATTGCATATTGCTGTTTCCGCAGAATGGGGTGATTCACCTTAGTGACCACCATTCTTTGTGACCCGCCAAGTTTCTGATCCGTATAGAAGAACTGACCTTACGTTTGTATTGAAAACCCGAATTTTGTTGTTGATGCTGAGTGACGAAGATTTCCAGATTGATTTCAGGTTGATGAATGTGTTTCTCGCCTTCCCGATTCTCGATTTGACATCCTCGTCCGCTCCTCCTGTAGTTGAGACAATGCTCCCTAGATAAGTGAATGAAGTAACCTCTTTCAAATCCCTCCCGTTGATGGTGATTGACGTTGGATGTTGTTGCTGTTGTTGGTTGGTTATTTTCATAACCTCCGTCTTGTCTATGTTCACCTGGAGTCCTGTCTTCGCTGGCTGCTTCTTCGACCAGTTTGTCGGTTTTCGCTTGTAAGTCTTCGATTTTGTGTGACATCAAACATAAATCATCCACGAGCGAAATCCAGGTCTTCTAGGTTCTTCACGTCGGTCCAGGATATTCCTGTCTTCTCGTTTCCCACTGTCTGACGCATAATCCAGTCCACCACAATTAGGAATATCATTGGTGATAATAAGCACCCTTGTCTGACTCCTGTGTTTACTCCAAACGCCTCGCTGAGTTTTCCGTTGTGGATCACTTGACATGTGCCGTTGTCGTACAGCTGTTGAATAAGGTTGATGAATATTTGGGGTACGCCATAGTACTCGAGTAATTTCCAAATTACTTCACGGTCAACGCTGTCGAAGGCCTTCTCAAAGTCTATAAAGTTGAGGTAGAGGTTTGATTGCCATTCCATGCTTTGTTCTGTGATGATGATGCGTAGAGTTGCAATTTGGTCAGTACATGATTTGCCTTTCCTGAATCCAGCTTGTTCTGGTCGGAGTTCTGTCTCCAGTGCGTCCTTTAATCTCTCCAGGATGATGCGACTCAGGATTTTACTTGGCGTCGATAGGAGCATGATTCCTCGCCAGTTCTTGCAGAGTGACCTAAGTCGCCCTTCTTTGGTAGTTTCACGAGGTAACCTTTCCTCCAGTCAGTAGGCACCTTTCCCTCCTTCCAGACCTTTTGCAATAATGGAGTCAGCATGTCTGCTGTAGTCTCTGGGTCCGCTTTCAGTGCTTCAGGGGGTATTCCATCTGGTCCGGCTGCTTTTCCAGCTTTCAGAAGCTTGATTGCATTCAAGACTTCAGCTCTCGTTGGAGGATTGGTGTCAACTTGCAGTTGTGTGCGCGCTGTTGTTGGTATTTCTGGACGGGTTGCAGGTGATGGTCGGTTCAAGAGTCCTTTGAAGTGATCCGCCCATTGTTTAATCTGTTTTTCTTCCTTGGTAATTGGGTTCCCTTGGCTGTCTTTTATAGGTTTCGCTTGTGTTGATCTCTTCCCGGATAGAGATTTGGTTATCTGATATAGTGTCCTCAGGTCCCTTTTGCCTGCTGCCTTTTCAGCTTCAGTGGCGAGGTTGTCGTAGAATCGTCTTTTGTCCTTCCTAGCACTCTTCTTCACTTCTTTGTCCAGTGCTTTGTAAGTTGAGCTCATCGTCTCCTTCTCCTGTCCGTCCTTGCATTGAATCATTTTCTCTTTCACCATTCTCCTCTCTTCTATTAATTTCCAAGTGTCCGTTGAGAGCCATTCCTTGTCTTGTCTCTTCTTTCTTCCTAGAACCGTTGAACACGTTTCGTTGAGAATCGCCTTCAGAGACTTCCAATGTTCTTCCACGCATGATTCTTCAGTGATGTCGCGTAGTGTTTCCTGCTTTGCTCTGACAGTTGCAGTGAAAGTGTCTTTTGTGGTTGTGTCCTTCAGTAATTGAGTGTTGAACTTGCATTGTGGCCTATCCCCAGCTATCCTCGAGGCTTTTAGTTTCACCTTGAAAGTCCCTTCTACTAGATAGTGGTCTGAACCCACATCTGCTCCTCTCCTTGACCTTGTGTCCAGTAGGCTCCGTCTCCACTTTCTTGAAATTGAGATGAAGTCTATTTGGTTCTTGGTGTTTCCATCTGGTGAAATCCATGTCGTCTTGTGTATATCCTTGTGTTTGAACACACTACCGCCAATCACCAAATCATTGAAGGCGCAGAAGTCTGAGAAGAGTTCACCATTGTCGTTCATTTCACCGAGGGCCTCACGACCCATGGTGAGTTCTCTTCCTGTGTTGTCTCCTCCCAGCTTCGCATTCATGTCGCCCATCAGGATTTTGATATCGCCATTTGGGACGTTGTCCATTATTGCTTGTAGTTGTCTGTAGAACGCCTCCTTCTT